GATGCATATGTGGAGACTCTCTTAAGGACTTGACCGATACAGGCTGACGCTCTGCGAGGTTTGCGTGCGTGTGAAGACACTCGAAAGCCATTCGCTGAGATGGGATCATTGTGCGTGTGCACATTCGAGATTGTTTTGTGGAGGGCTGCCCATCAGCAGGGATCACGTGTGCGCGTGTGTGTGCGGAGAACACTCGCTCGTTGCATTCAAAACAAAGGCTCGAATATCTCGCCTCGCCACTCCGCACTCCTCTGCCTGTCCACCCCCTTAGCCCCCCCCCCCCCCCCCACATAGCTGCCCCTCCCCTAGTCCCACTCCTGCACACACTTCGCGAAAAACCCACGTGCCGAATGCACGCACCCCTTTCTAACGCCATTATATGGATGCATATTGTTATTATACGTATTATAACACCCTTCATTTATCCAGAAAAGCGTCACTGAATCTGAATGCCTCTCTTTTCAGGAGGGCCCCTGCATTGGGATGTTTGGTCAATTCCAATCACCGGTGTTGTGCTTCATGTAGGAGGATACTGGAGCACCAAGGTGAAATCTGTCACGCAATAGATTCTTGAGCACTGTTGCCCCCTTTCTAAAACCCCATCAGTGGGTACCACAGTGGCGAGATGTTAGCTACCTCGCCTAGTTTGCAGGAGGTCGTGGCTTCGATCCCGACACTGACGCCTACTGCATATTTTGAGTTTATGTGTCTCTCTCCCTGTGGTAGGGTGGATTTTTCTCCAGATCCTCTGGTTTTCTCCTCCACGTTTAGAATCATCCCTGCTGATGAGCAGCAGTTTAGAGTATTTGGCTGCGATACATTTCTACGTGAAAAAGCCACTTCGTTGGGCTGTGGCCGGGTCGCTTCTGAAAAAGAGCTATATGGCTCAGTGGGCCTTACCTGCTCAAATAAAACGAGTGTAAATAGTAGTAGTATGTTAATCATCTTTACCCTCATCCTTCCCTCCCCATAAAAGCTTCCAGGTTCTCGCTCGTGGTCCTCACTTTGGTGGGGCAGAGAGAGCCAGAATCCCCCCCCCAACCTCCCCTTGTCAAGCCCGCGGCGCGTGATTGCTGGGTTTTCGCTTGCAGAGTTTCTGCCCCCCCCCCACCCTTGCTGTTTCTGTCAACATTAGGGGTACCTCAATGCCCAAACTAAAACTAAAATAAACATTTATTTGTATTTTAACAGGTAATGCCCACTGAGCTATATATAAATGTATTCAGAAGCGACCTGGCTATCACACAAAGTGGCTTATCATGTCGAAATTTTCATCAGGCAAATACTCTCAATGCATGTTTATAAATGTGGAGGGAGAAACCGGAGAACCCCGAGAAAAATCCACATGACCACGTGGAAAACATGCAGACCATTGTATTCCCAGGCAGTCTCCCATAATTATACTAATACGGCTTAATATACCTGCTTAGCTTTAGAGATGCATTCAAAATAATTTGCTACGATAAAATATATATACATTTTGAGGAAAATGTGGAGGCAGATTCATATTTTGACAAAGCAGCATCAATCACCTTTCAATTGCGGATTAATAATTTGGCAAAGCGCACGACATGTCTCGATTTGACAATGTGATTACGTCAGACAGTAGAGATCAATACAGCGCAATATATGACTTCATGTAGAAATATTTGTTTGCATTTTATTGACCCTCATCGCTCGACACCGGATGACACAATAAAGAAGCATGGTTGCCATTACTGGTGCCCTCTTGATACCGCATCTACAGTGCAACAGCCACATGATTAAGGGTCAAGCGGCGTCTTAATTAGCGCAGATTCATGCGTTTCACATGCGCCGTGAGTGTACTTGCAATGGACCATACAATGCTTTTGAAACCAGGCGACGAATGTGCACGTGTCGACGTGAAATTAATGCTCAAAACAGCAGGACCACCCACACACACACACATCGACGTGTATGCGTTAATTTCGTTGCACTGTTTGAATATTTTGTAAACTTGTCAAAGTCCACGCTTTTCCCCTTTCGTGAAAAGTACTGGGCTCCTCCCGATTGCAGGTTCTAAGCCAGACGTGGATATTTCTCACACCAATTACGGGAACCAGCTTCTCCATGGGACAATGTATGATGTATAACTTATTTCTCACCGTACATGGCGAACCGTGCTAATGGGAGGTGCGGGAAAGGACACCAAACTAAACGCAAAAGCACAGTGCTTCTTTTACCTGTGGTAGAGGGAAAGAGGGGGTAGTGATTCAGTGATTAGCACACTGCAGTATGCACACATGCACCTATATTTCAATCCCAGCCACAGCTATCATTAGTGGTGAGTTCTATCCTCCACCGCCATGCCTTTGCCAGCCCACGCTGACCAGCATGGCGAAGTATGGTCAAACAAACACCATTACCAACAATGGCGTTGGCAAGACCATCATCCAAAATATATTACTACCAGTTTTAAGTTGTTATATACTTTTTTGCATTATGAATGAAAGTTTACATTAAGAAATGATGATTGTGTAGTGGCATTGTTGGGCGCGAGCTCACTAAGGGTCCTCCGGCTAGCGGGACCTAGGGAGGCTATTCTGACCCGACCCAGCCAAGATCCTCGGCTCCGGCTCCAGGTCTTCAGGGTGGCTTCTTCGAGTCTTCGAGTGGACGACAACTACCGGGCCCGTTCAGGGGTCCGGCTTTTATACAGTCCCAGCTCACTCCGTCCCTCGCCACGCCTTCCTTCTGGAACCTTCCCGAGGGCCCAGGAGTGTGACGTCATACCCCAACCCCCCTTCTTGGGAGTCTGGGGTCTGCACCCCTGGTCACGATGCTCCCCGGGGATTACCTCGTCCCAACGGCCCGACTTCATCTCTCCGGCTCAGCATCTCTTCCGCCCCCTGTTGACACGGGGCCGGTACTACCGGCTAAGAGAAGTGATCGCGCATTGAGCCCAACAATGCCACTACAATTGGACTGAGTCTGCCCTGCCTAGGATTTTAACTGAGAATCTAATGAGAGGGGTTCCTAATGCTCCGGGAAACTGAGCCTAGTACATGTACAGCGTGTTGTTAATTCACTGCTGGATGAGGGTTCTTCAGATGTCATGCGAGTGGACCATACTTGATCATGCTGGTAAGTGTGGGTTGGGGAAGATGGGGATAATATAAATGGGTTCATAGAATTACAGTACAATAATGGATTTTGCTGCAATCATTGCCCATCGAAATCGTGTTATATCTCAACATAAAAGCGGGGCTTCAGAGTAAATGTACTATTTTTTTTCTAACGTAGATGAATGTGACCGTTTATTTTTAAACAAGTTCTAAATACAAGTGACATATGATGCGCGTTGAACACCCACAGCGGCGAGGAGATAGTGTGAGGCCGGTTATGGAAAAAAATATTTCCCTCCAGCTGCTGCCCCCCCCCCCCCCCCGTGACCTCTAAATTTAGGGCTGCCTGAAAAAATGCTTGCCCCCTATAAATGGGAATTGTAGCAACCACAAGTTTTCTGTGGCCAGCGTACGTGGCGTTTGCATGGACGGTGAAAATAACCCCACTATGTGAGGACAGGGCGGCCTCCTGCGTGCCCGCACTTGCTTGAATGCTGTGCAACTGTGAAATTGCACAAACACGGGAACCTCAACTCAATGCATTTTCTCCTCCATTACTCCGCGCCGCTCAACTTGGGCAGGACACAAACACCCACTTGAACACCAGACCCTGAACCAACATCTCCTCTCTCTCAAGATCAATTCTCTCCGATGCCCTCGTCAAATCGCAAAGTCACAGAGTACATACGGAACTGGCTGAGTCAACCCATAAGAACACTTTGTATTTTTTGAAAATTCTAATTGCGCAAACAAGCAACGCCACATTTGCATTGCCCTGAAGGCTCTGAACAAATAAAAACAGAAGCCACTTGAAACACAAAGAAGGCACGCCTCCTCGCCTCTGAGGAAACAAGATAAACAGCGCCGCGGGGGAGAGTGGCGTGTGTCTTATTCTTTTTTTTAAAAAACTCAACTTGAACTCAATGGAGTCATCAGGAAGTTGTCCGCCCGTGTCGCACTCTCGCCGTTTTCTGGGCTTCTGCATCCCCTTGCACAGCTCAGCGGGGCCCGGCCGTTGCGGGGAAACATAACGCTAACACAGCCCGCTGTTGTTGCTGGTTACTTTTCAGAGCCTCTTGCTCTCGACCATTTTCCACACTCGCTGCAGTGTCAATGCGCCGCCTCATCGGCTACGCACGGGGAGAATGGCGTGGCGGGCGGCGAGTGAGAACGTGGTGTGAGATTTTGGGGCCGCTTTGGGGTTCGTGGCAGGGAGATGGTATGTATGTACCTCCGATTAGCACGGTTGGTTACGTACGGCGCGAAAAAAGGTCAACATAAAAGCATGTGTAGGTGCGAATGAAGAACAGCAAACTAAACACAAGAAGCAGTTCTAAAGAAATGAGTTTTCAATAGAAAATTTGAAAGTGCATAGCTCCAGTGGCTTTCTGTTATCGGAAAGAAGAGCGTTCCATACGGCCACAGAAGCGCATCTGAAAGCGCGCGATGCAATGGCCGTCTTTGTTCGATGGTTAAGCCAAAAGCCGCTACGAAGATGACCGGAGTTCGCGTGATGGTTTATGCTCCTTGATGAGATAAGCGAGGTATTGTGGTGCATTTGTGGCAAGCAGTGGTGATGGTGATGTTTTGGCGCGTACCGATGCATCCATTACAATCGATTGAAGTAAATTATTATAGCCCCGGCACATGCATTACATTCTTTGGGTGAGAATTTATGATTTACAATACTTTTGGAAATTATATACTTATTAGAGGAATAATGCAAAAAAGATGGTGAAAATTGAAGATTTTGTTTGTTTGTTGTTGAATCGCATCGCGACTCCAAACTATGACAGTCACTAAGGGGTTTAATTATGAATGTTTGAATGGCCCCAGCCAGCCTGAATTTGTACACCCCAATGACCTGCTCATTGCGCGATGCCAGGCACACACGTTTCGTGTGACAGTCTGTAAGTCCAAGGCATATAAATGATCATCGAACAAGTCCTGACCCGCTACTTCCCCTTCGACACATTCGCAACGGAAGAAAAGTTGAACGTCTCGCCCCCACGGGGGGCCTCTGCCTTGCGTGTTTTATCCGATCGCTCAGCAAATATTAGTGGACATGCAAGTAGCAGTGCCAACGGAATTCCTGCCCGAGGCGTGGGACCCCCAGCGACCAGGGTGCAAATGATCAGGGGGCAGTAGAAATCCGGGGCAGTAGAAATCCGCGGCAGCCAACAACAAAGACTAAGATCCCCCGTATAGCCTCAAGAGACTTTTGGGGCAAGTGCTGTTAGTGAGGAACTCTGAAGGTCGGCATGGAAGTCGAGGAGGTGGGCAGCCAGCACCACGCCCGCCCGCCTTTGTCGCCCCAGTGGTGATGTTTACTCACCACAAAAGGTACTCATTTGAGGCTGAGTTTACCGAGGGGAGGCCCAGGACCGGTTCAGATCATCGTCAGTGGTGTTGTCCGTGAGCGGGAATAGAACTCGGTTAGCTGGGTTTCTAGCTTAGCGCGATTACCGCTACACAACCGCTCCCATTACACACACACACACACGTTCGGCTGTATTGACACCAAAAATTAAGTCCAATAGTAAAATTATATATGCAGTGTACGTATCTTGTACGACACAAATGATATGCAGTGCTACATGTACTTCCAGAAGCAAATATGGCAATTAGTTTTGAACACTTTTTTTGAGATATGCCTTCTGACGAAACAGCTAAAACACATCGCAATGGAGATTTGTAACCGGGCAAAGATTCCATCCCCACAGGTGCAGGCAAAAAGCTTCGTCATTTTCATAATTCTCAGTTGCAGTTCGATTGCAAAAAATGAAAATAATTTTTCAAATTTTTTTACCATCTTATTTGTATTGCCGAGTTTTGTTTAAAATTCCTATTTTTATCGTTTTATTTGCTCAATAAACTAAATGCATATGCACAGCCCCTTTGTCCATACACAGCTTGAATGTAACATGAGCATAATTGGCACAAATCTTACACTTGTTAGGCACAGTAATCAATTCCTACATACTTAATATTATACACTGTAAGTGTAAGGACAGGTTCGTAAATTAATTATTCGATACTCTTTGGTTCTTTCGGTAAAGTTACGTAGGTATAAAAATAAAATAAAATAAATCACGACGTTTCGGGCGCAACACAAGCGATGCAGACTGTTTTTTTATTTTTTTTTCAAAAACAGTCTTTTTGAAAAAAAAAACTAGTCTGCATCAGCAGCAGACCAATGTTTTCCCACCTGATGACGGACGCTTGTGTTGCGTCCGAAACGTCGTGATTTATTTTATTTTGATACCTACGTGACTTTACCGAAAGAACCAATTAGTATAGATTCCTGCAGTCACGAAAGCTTCAAATCATAATTATTCGATGTTCATCAATGAATTCATGCAAAGTTACAAGCCTCAAAGCGTTCCTGCATTGTGGCAACGGGAAGCATCGGCACCAAAATCTGGACGACATAATGGTGCCAGTGACTTCAACCGGTCATGCTCACCTCCACTGGCAGCCCCAAGCCAGCCTTGGCAAATCCATATTCTTATGGCAGGGGCCAATTTCACCACCGCTGGCTTCTGGCAGTGGTAGACATTTTATTGGATATAGAGGGCCGTGTTTGACTCCTGACAGGAATTTTAACTCAAGTTTTTTTTTAATTATGACCTTAACGCGGCGAGCACCGCGTCACACGATCATATCAGTGGTGTTTATACATTAATAGAGTATATTATTGAATGCAAATATGTACACAAAACTGAGATCATGAGGGTAAGACAATAACAAAAATTCCAGCCATTCTCAATCGATAAATGGTTGATCGCCTCCTCCACCACACCAGGGCTGGATAGCTTGAAGGTCTAAAATTAACTTAAGTCTCATTAAAATATACAAAAAACAATCTCCAGCATCAGTGAACCAAGTAATTTCTCTCCCTCGGAGTGTGACACGAACGCTGACAAGCCTGCCACCTGTTACTCATATGTAGAAAAATGTGAAAACAACGTTTTAACACAGACGCGCACAGCGCGCAAAACAGACAATAAAAGGCGACGCTCCATGTCTGCTTATTTCATTAGGAACTTCTATATATAAAGGAGCCTGCGAGCTTTGTCTATTGTGAATGTACACGGAGGACATGGACTGCGTCATCTGGAACATGTTTTGAATGCAATAGCATAGCTCTCCTTGATGTGCCAAGCGGTAAAAACTTCAGCAGGCAGTAAAGCAATCAGACTTTTGTGAATATGATCTGTAAAACTTCGGGCACATATGCGGCGATCAAAATGTCTGTTCTTATATTATTTTCCTTTGGACACGAATTTATGTTTTTAGGGTTATTGTGATTGTTGGATACACATTAGAGGTGGTGTGTCGCACAAGAGAAATGCTGAGAGGAACAAGACTATTGAACCTTTAAAGCTCGCTCGGTTGTGAGTGCACCCATCTTCAACACCATTTACAATTTGATTTATTTTAACACTTCTCCTCCCTTGTGTGTATGTACGTTGAACTTCTTTCGCACCGTACATAGCCAACCACACGAATTGGAGGTGCGGGCGAAGGACATCAAACTAAACACAAAAAGCAGTTCTCAACACGTACCTTTTCAAACTATATTTAAAAGTGCATAGCTCCGGTGGCTTCCTAATATCGGAGGGAAGAGCGTTCCAGACGGCCGCAGAAGCGCATCTAAAAGCGCGCGATGCCAGTGACCGGCTTTGCTCGATGGCTGGCCAAAAGCCGCTACTGCGAGGATGTCCGGAGTTCGCCTGATGGTTCATGCTCCTTGACGAGCTCAACAAGGTATTGTGGTTCATTTGTGGCGAGCACTTTGTGCGCAGTGAGTGCGACCTGTGTGGAGACCAAGTGTCACAGCTCAGGAGCGGCTTTGTCAGCCGCCTCTAGCAAGCACGTGCATCCTGCCAGGCACTGCCAGGTGTGAGTGGCGTGAGGGCTGCGAGGTGTCCAGAAGACTACAGCGATCAGGGTCACCCCCCTCGCATGCGCGGGGATGTCTTTGCGTAAACTCCCGGTCTTCATCACCCCCATTAAGCCACAACATTCGTTCACGAACTTTCCCAAACATCCCGATGTTGACGGACTCCACTTAGAAAAGGGGTCTTGAGACTCCGGAGTAAATAACTGGCATTATAATAAGCTGTATGGCTGCCCGGGTGATTATCGAGCACATTAATTAAGTGGTAATTTATTTAATTAAACGTACCTTTTGTTGACCCTTTGTCAAAATACTGCTTGATGGAGGACTTCCCACGCCGTGTCGGACGTGTGAGCTGTTTGCCTGTTCTTCACACCCCCCACCCCCCCTTCCGCTGGTCAGGACTGGTTCAGACACCGCTCGCCACTCTGACCACAGCCAAGGCTGGTGGATCGTACAGCGCCCCTCTGCCTGAGCGGCGCGCTCTCTGTTGGAGGCACCGTCAAGTCGTCTCACGCGAGGTGAGCCACTCACCGCGTCGCCGGCAACTTCAGCAGCGCCTTCGGTACGGTCACGGTGCGGTCCGCGTCACGGCGACCCGCCGGCGCTCCACCTCGCCCATGCGGCTGCTGCTGCTGCTGCGATGACCGAGACATCCCGACCCCCTTCCTCGCCGTGGCGTGTGCCTCTGCCGCACCTCGACAAATTCCGCTCAGCGCCAGCGCCACTGGCAGGCGGGACACAGCCTGCCCACTTTAGGCACCGTGCCTCGGTGCCCCTGCTGCATAAACAGCGGCGGCTCTGATGAACTCTGCTCCATGCCCGTTTAGTGTGCTTGGCTAAGGTGTTGCCAGCGGGTCAAACAATCGGCTTGGGTGGGCTCTTGTATGTATAACCGCGGGGGTCTCTCTGCGTGCGTAAGTGCACGCGCGAGTGTGTGTTCAGGGCTAGGTGCTGTATTTCGAGGTTGGTATCGAGAAGGTGGAGATATAATCGGTTCTTAGGAATTGTATTTTTTTAAAGTTATAATCTGGGGTCATGGCGCGTAACGATCTGTGCCTGTCACTGCAGGCACCAGCCCCACCTCCTCTCACTCCCCTTTGCCCTTCCTTCTCACAGATGCCCCACTGCACGGGGAGGTCCAGCACCAACCACATCCCCACCGCCTTCAGCCGCGGGTTTCCTGCCCTCGCTACCAAAACTGTATTTGCGTATACTGTAATGAGAAAAATGCCCCGCGTACATTTCCACAGTCCACGTTCCTCGTGAAGACTCCATTTGCCCCTTGGATTGAATGAATGAACATGGTTTTCAGTTCTCTTAAAAAAAACAATTCCCAACTTTCAAATAAAAATATTACAGAGTGGAAAGAGAGTTTTTATACGGCTAAAACCCGATAAGATTAGCACGGTGACACTTTTTAGCGATGGATGTTTTACCTGGGGCAAAGGCCTCAAGTCATATACCACTTCATGAATACCATTAATTACCAGTATTTCCCAATCATAACGAACCCCTCCCGGACCCCGTGCAATGAATGGGCATTTATATATATAAGTAAAATTCTAAATTCATGCTTCCATGACGTGTACTGTGAATTTTGCATATGTACGACCACTAAATTCATCCGACGTTAAGGCCTAAGAACATTGGGAAACACGCATCCTGCATTCTTGCCCAGATGTGTGTTGCTTTCATTGCACGCAGTAGGACAAAAACAAGTACTGCATGTGAATGTGGAGCAGCACATGGCCAACAGTGACCTGCATCAAAGAGAGCGTGGGGGAGCCTACTGAAGCAGAGAGCTCACTTACAAAATTCGCGGTCGGAAAGACTTGGGACGCTGTATTTCCGACAGCTTTGTTTCTTCACCTGAGGACGGCTGCTTGTGTTGTGGCCGAAACGTCGTGATAATTTTTTTATTTTGTTATGTTTTATTTGTATTATTTTATTATTTCCCTTCTACGTGACTTTACCGAAAGAACCAAGAAGATGAATCCCTGCAGTCACTAAAGCTTTAAATCGTTTAATAATATTCGTTTCTTCTGAAATTTTGTATTAATGACCAAAAATAGTGTGGCGTAAAATGTCTACTCGCCTGCCTGCCTGCAGATTAAGTCCAAATTCCCAAGTGGAGGCGTATTCCGAAGAAACACGAAGACAATTAACAACGCAAACTATTTCACTCGCAAAATCAGACAGCAGCCCCAGTGCAGTGAGCAGCAAAAAAATCTCGCCCCTGGGTAAAAATCAATCTTAACGGCGTGTGTCCCATTGTTCAAAGGCGTTTAGAGTCTTTAATGCTAACATCCGGTAGCAAGTGCACGCTCGCAAACGACCTGAGTTCTGCAAACACGCACACGCACGCATCACCGTCTTACAAACGTGCACACCACCACCACCACCACTCGGCGTCATGTACACAACCTCTGTGCCTCCATTAAACGCAACGGTTTCGTCAGAGCGCCTCGCGCAAGCCAACTGTGTAATTATAACCGAACGTTTTTGCAAAAAATATCCGCTTTGCTACGGCCGACGGTGCTGGCACAGGTACTTCAATTAAAGAAACCTCACGGCACGCCGCGGGGTCCAGGCCAGTAATGAAGTATGCGCAACGCCTCCAGCAGACTCATTCAAGTGGCAATGTTCACAATTAGTCGGCTCGTGAACATTGCCAGTGAATGACACAAAAAACCGCGCATTAGCGTCGAACACTGTGTAGCACACGGGATTAAAAAAATCGTAACGCGCAGTATTTCCTATGGGGCAATACATTCTGAAATTATATGTTTCGTATATGGGAATCATTGCAAATTTAAGAAGTTAGGGGCCGTCCATAAATGACGTCACGTGATTTTGGACGATTTTTGACCCCCCCCTCCCCTTCGTCACACGGCGTCACAAAAAGTCAGACCCCCCCTCAAATATGACGTCACAAAGCTCTGCCCCCCCCCCCAAATAATATAAAACATGCTTCAAATCGCTTTAAACTCTTGTCATTGTAGTGCGTATTTAATGTGGCGCTGCACTCTGATGTTGTAGGAGAAACATTTATTAAAAAGTCTATTTAATTAAGTAGAACGTGTTGTCTATATTTATTTAAAGTTGCGCATTTTGATGTGACGTCACATTTCTCAACCCCCCCCCCCCCCCTTGTTACACATCGTCACAAATGTCTGACCCCCCCCCCCACCCCAGGTGCGTGACGTCATTTATGGACGGCCCCTTAATGCCTGACGTCGTCTTAGTTTGACTCTTGGTCTCACCAGCTGGAAGGAGTGGTGGCACACGAAGCTATGACGCCAGCGACCCGAGTTTGATTCTTGGCTGCATTTCACATCAGTGGGGGGTGATTCCTGATCCAGCCCTGCACTACTCCTTCGCCATCAAGTAACCTGCACTGACCAGCCTGGTCAAGCATGGTCCATCAACTACTCAGACAGGGAAGCCCATCACCCAGCTGTTGATTGATGAAGAGCTGTAAATTATATTTATTCATAATCGATTTTTTTTGGGTTAGATCGCGTAAATATATAAATGTGTCGTTAAAACCCGCCACCACCCGACACAGCCAACTAGTAAGGGTTGTCACGTAAACAGAACGTGGCCAATTCGTCACTCGTACAGCACACCGGTGTGTTGGAGAGCCAAGCCACAACATTTTCAATCTGACTACGATGTTTCGCCAGTAATTACAACCAGCTTCATCAGGCAACAGCCAGATTTGTGGAGGAGTTTGTTTCGTTCCTTATATGGAGGCGTAAATGTGGTGACCATACTTCTGCGCTCTTGTGCAAAGTGGGGGGGGGGGGGGAGGGTGTTAATGCGTCAACGTACATTACGCATTGTGCATTATGCGAGCCCTTTCGTGTCGTCCTTCCTTTCTATTGTGTGTATTAAAATAGCCGTGTCAACGGTAATCCCTATTGAAGTATGGTGCCCTTTATAGGCATGCATTTAAATTATGTATTATTTAATGATTCGTTACCACGCAGCCCTAAGGTGGTAGCTATCCGAACGGTTAAAATTGTGTTCATTTCTTTCAATTTCGAAAGATTATCTAATTAGTCTTGACCAGTAGTAGCTAGTTTTGCACAGAACTTCAACATCATCAAAATCAATTGAGTGCCCATGTTGGCAAGCGTGTTCTGCTACTGCTGACAGTTCTATTTGGGAGTATTTAATATATCTCTCATGTTCTTTTAGTGTCAGATGGTGACAGTCTGAGAAGTGAAATTCAACATGTTAAAGAAGCGCTGCAAATTAACGGTTACAATGATGCACAAATCAACAGGGCATTGAATGCCAAAACCAAATCAAATAAAACGAACATTGAAACTGCCCAAGTAATTAAAACGATCAAAATACCGTAAATTGCGGGAGTAACTGATAAACTAGCCAGATCTTTGGAAAAACAAAACATCTGGAACGATACATGAAATACAGAAATTAATATCTGGTACAAAAGATGTATTTCCGAAGCTATCAACAGAAGGTGTGTACAGGATTAACTGCACGTGTGGTAAATGTTATGTTGGGCAAACAGGACGAATGATCAGCACGAGACTGAAAGAACATCAGAGAAATATTAAATTCTCCCAAATACAACTGTGAGCAGTCGCAGAATACGCGTGCCAACAAGGACACTCAATTGATTTTGATAATGTTGAAGTTCTGTGCAAAACTACGCAATCTAACCCAAAAAAATCCTCTATTATGGATGATATTGGTCGCGAAAGCCTACGTGTTAAAATTATATTTATTGTTAAATTGATGAATAACTGTACGCGTGAAGCCCTTTTGCGAATCTACTGCTGGATGAAGCCCTCTCAACGCCGTGCGGGTGATTGGGTTGTTTCGCAATGCTTCATCACACCGGTAAAAAATATATATATATTAAATATAACCACCTTGTTCTAAATACCTCACTATGTTCACCAAGGATAAGAGTCAATAACATAACTCGCTTAGATGTCATTGTAACAGACATTCAACCCAAAATATAGGTTTGTACAAAAATATTAAGAAGCGCCGAGTTAAAAAAAATAAAAAATGTAAATACAGAATGCACTTATGCAATGCCTTCTGAATTGTACCACTAATTACCTATAATTGCATAGTCTGAGTTTTGGAAAATTAAGTCAGGAGCATTTGATTGTGTCTATAAATAATCCCGCCTGCAGATTATAGCGGCGGCAGAAACGCCAGCGTGGAGGGATAATCGGCCACAAAAGAACTCCCGCATGGACAGCAGCGAAACACCCGCGGTAAATTGATCTGCCACGGTTTCATTCGAACGCCGATTTTTTACCAACGCAGTCAGAGATACCGTGACAAACGCCAATGAGAAAAAGCGGCCACTAGTCACGCCTGAAGTGGGAATGTAAAGCTTGTACTGCATGGGCATGTCCAGGAGCGTGCCCTGAGTTCACAAATCCACACAATTTTCGATTTAAAGCTTTCGTGACTGCAGGGATTCATCTTCTTGGTTCTTTCGGTGAAGTCACGTAGAAGGAAAAAAAAACATACTAAAATAATTCTCACGACGTTTCGGCCACAATGCAAGCAGCCGTCTTCAGGTGGACTTTACCGAAATAACCAAGAAGATAAATACACACATGCGAAAGGAACACGGCAAGCAAGAGCAAGCACATCGCTGTCTTGGTGATAGACACGTGGTTTCCCACGGTGCTTGTTTTGATGCCCACTGAATCATCATCAACATCTATGCAGGTTGAGTCGTGACACGCTGTAACGTGCTTGTTGATAAACACGTCCCCACGTGACAGAGCGAAGTGCCGACTCGTGTGAAGATTGAGATCGAATGCATCCAACAGCCGACATTCGCCACTAGGTGGCAGTGACGCCACTACGGCGCTTGTGCCAGGCTAGGTGCACTTTGGTATCATAAGCTGGAATGGACACACACACACACGTAGAGCCGAGCAAATGGCTGTACAGTACATTCAATTAGTTCACCAAAGTTTCAGCAAATGCAATCATTTATACCGCTCACGAATAAGTAAAGGCATCGTTTGCACAAAAATGGCAGAAAGAAAAGGTGGCAGCGGATTAATTTGGGAAATAAATACCGTGCCATTATTAACGAGGCTGCGCCAAATTGTCTGGGATGATATTTGTTTGCATTTTGATCACATTGGAGCACCGCAGTGGCGAGATGTTAACTACCTCGCCTGGCCCGCAGGAGATCGTAGCTTCGATCCAGATCTTTGACGCTTGTTTATTTGGAGTTTGCATGTTCTCCCCGTGGTCGTGTGGATGTTTCTCTGGGTCCTCGAGTCTTTCCCTGCTAATTTAGAAACATGTGTCTCGAATATTTGGCTGTTATACATTTCCACATGATAAGCCACTTCGTTGAGCTATCATTTGTGGCCAGGTTGCTTCTGAAAAAAGAGCTCAGTGGGCCTTACCTGGTAAATAAAAAGTTTAGTTTAGTAAATCAATTGCTCAAATGTCTTAGCGCTGACCCAGATGGTGGTGAACACACTCTGAATGTAATGACTGCACAATGTCAAAAAGTAGCGCGAGCCGTAAGAAACTCACTGCATACACGTACATGACATTGTTATTCTTACATTATTTAGTTTACCCAGGTAAACCTGACAAGTGTAGTGCAGTCAGGGGGCGGGGGGGCGATGATTGTGATGTATATTCCAATTGAGTAATTTGTAGTAAAATTTTTCTAATTTGGCAAATGTTAACCATGACGCCACAACACAATGGCCTACTCTAGCAGAGGACAACACGGCAGATGGTGCGTAGTATGGCCACGGTAAATACACCCATAGTATCGAAATGCTGGATTTGAATTGTGAACCTCTGTAACATGCATCGAATGTGCTACCGCTAAGCCATAACACCGGCCAAATATACATCGGATTGAGGTCGTGACTGAGTGAGTGATAACTAACCAAACTTTAGTTCTCAATGGGCTGCAGCCACAAACAGTTTCTACACTGGATAAAAAAAGCTAGAACAATGTGTTCATAACGACGCTGTTTTTCAGACAGCTCTATTGTTCACCTGAGGACGGCTGCTTGTGTTGTAGCCGAAACGTCGTGAGAATTTTATTTTATTATGTTTTTTTTAGTATTTCCCTTCTACGTGACTTTACCGAAAGAACCAAAAAGATGAATCCCTGCAGTCACGAAAGCTTTAAATCGAAAGCTAGAACAATGTCCTTTAAACATTTGCCTCAACTTGAGGTCAACTACAGAACTATGAAAAAAAATGTCCAATCTTACATTTGTACCGAACAGCACAAAGCTGTATTCCTCACCTTCACAACCCACCCTGATTAATATGGTAAAGTATAGTCAAAACAACTCCCGCAATATCACAGTGTGGGGAGGCACTCATCCAGCAGTGGATTGACAAAAGGGCCGTACACGTATACAGTATTCACATACAAACGAGTGGACAATATGTGCATACACACACACATATATATATCACGCACTTCTGATTAGCACGGTTGGCTACGTATGGTGCGAAAGAAGTTCAACACACATGCATACATATATGAATGGCGGGTTAAACAATTTTCGGACAACGGGGGAAATTTAGCAGTGTTGACAAATCCTGCAGCAGTGATCGACCGCATTATCGAGCTTGTAGCCATCGCCGATGCCAGGGCTTCGTACACCGCAGATGCATCTGACGCTCACGCTGCTGCGATAAGCCACTGTGAATCATTTTGTCCCTCCTGAGTGACACTTCAGGTTTGTTAATTTATTTCGGCTTCAAAGCTGGGAGGAGATGGGATGAGGGGAATA